TTTTAGGTAACGAACTTTTCAGCAAATAGCACATTTGTGTCTTCGGTGTTCCTGCACCTATTTAAATTCACTTTGATTGCTTTGTAGTTGTTAGTTTGTTGTGGTGGAGAGAGGAACAAGTTCTCCTCAATTAGCTAAAAAAGCCGTTTTGAATTCATAAAATCTCGTAATAGTGGGTAGTACAGAGAAGATCAAGCTAGAACCAGCTAGAGGTATTCATAAAGGCAAGAATCTGGCCAATGCTAATGCTAGATTTTAACGTCAAGTGTGTTGAAAAAGCTCCTAGAGACTAAAGCGTTATTATCGTCAAACCTGGTCACAGACACATCAGGTGTTCTGGTGTCCTTTTTTCGAGATCTGTTAGACACGCATTACAAAAGATACCATGGCCTGGGTAGGCCAAGGCTAGCTCCATGCCGTCGTATGGTCCAGTATGTGGTTGTTAAGTAGTGATAGATTCATTTTTATTTATTTTATCAATCCAATTTTTATTTTTCTTCATATTTATGAGTGCTTAGTTTATGAAAAAATTAAGAGGCTTTTATAATTTACATAGGTTCTGATTAGCTTGACAAAGCAAATCAATCTAACCATGTTCGTGCGTCCGAATTTCTGACTGTTAATTTATATTTTTAGCTATATATCAACCATCCATTGAATTAGTAATAGGAGTAAATAAATAAAACTTTTAAGGGAGACTTCCTGAGATTCCAGATAGATAAAGTTGACAAATGAATGATAGGTGGATCACTTTTCTATGTGAGCCATACACGAAACGTGTAATTAAAATTAATTAGATAATTATTAATTAATTAATTAGATAGATTATATGTGATTTATAGTACGTTCCAATTTAAATGTCTGGGTGACTAAGCTCAACCAATTAATTTTAATTGCTCATCTTGATTAGAACTGCAAACAAACTGTAAGCATTATTCATGGTCTGAAAGAAGAAAAGAATAGTTGTTAACCTTAAATACAGTCAAATATAAACTTACTCTGCTAAATATAGGCAAACCAACATCAAAGAGATTAGCCACTTTAATAGTCACTGGTTGTTTCAAAAACTCCATATAAATAAAAACCAAGTTCTTCGTTGATTTCGAATAGTGCAGCCAATTTGTGTTATAGGCACTCCAAGTTAAGTGATTGGCATTAACAGTAATCTCATTAGCATAATAGCAGAAAAGAAATATCTGAAAAGCCATAACTCCTAAAAAATTGAACATGCTAAATACTTGACTCAAATCCTTGATTATATTTAGCTAAAAGAGTTAATAAGTTTACTTTACAAAAATTTTAATCGGAATAGAGATACTCACATGTATAAGACGATAACCACTAAAACATAAAGTCAAAGCACTTAACATAATCTGTGCAAGCACAGGGGCGGACACAAGCCGTTGACACTCCAGTGTTAAACTTAAATAAAAGAATATTATGTTAAATATAAATCACATATTACTAAGTAAGAATAATATTTTATTTTGTTTTAATTTAAAACTCACCGTTTTGTATGTTTATGTAGACGAAATATACTTTTCAATTCCCTAATTACATCCACCTCCTTCATCTGTTCCAATGCAGCCAAACGAAATGATATCAGCTTGTAGAGTGCGCCAATGTGAAACATAAAGTAGCAGTAAGTCATGTCGAGTGTGATATTGGAGAGACAATTTAGGGACATCGCTATCATATCGAAAAAGTAGGCATACCAGTATTTTGTAGGATTCTTCCATTCAAATGGTACATAGTAGCCATAGGCTAATTCATATTTACTTAAGAAAAGTACACTTATAAAGGCTATGTAAGCTACTACTAAACTGCCAATAATATAAGAGAAAGCCACTCTTTTAAATTTTCTATGTTCTTCAAGCCATAGTTTACATTCACTATCCGTACGCATTTGAAGTTGCTTATTCTTTTTGAGTTCATCAATAAACGACCACGCCTCCTTACCCATAAGCCATATATTAAAAATTTTACATAATAATCCAGTCTCGGTCATTGTTATATACATCACATTCCCAGCTTCCTCTAAACTCTTCGATGTTAAGACTTCCGTCCACATTAACGAAATGAATACAAAAGTTAAAGGCAAATGAACTATGAAACGATAGCATAGTTCTAACGTTGTTATGGAACCACTTTTCTCTTCCGGTTTATGCCAGTGCCAAAAGCCAGTTACCTTTAATATTGTGATGAGAGTACGTGCTGAAGATATATTATCAACTGTAGTCATTTTGGAGGTCAAAGTGCGTATGCGTTTTACTAAAGGTTTTAAATCTCATATTTATAGGAAATGAAGCTTGTGTGAATTAACTAGACATGTGCTTTAATGACATATAGATTGGTTGGGGTATAACTGTTTTTTAACAATAATTTGTAAAAATCATTTCAGTGCGCTACAGTACTTTCTTGATAAAAGTAAGAAGTGATATTTAGCAGAATACAAAATATAAATAATATTGTTGGAACAGCCAAGTAGTATGACTACTAATAATACTTTCATACAAATGCAACACGGTGTTGTCAAGTTTGGTAACATAGTCATATTGTAGATTTTTTTTTTAAATCTCTATTTAATATTAGTTTCAGTTCTTCTCTTTACTTGTGCATATATTTTACGTAAAAATAAAATCTGGCTTCTGAAATCTCATCAGATTTATATTAAGTTCGAATATCCACTTTTTGCGATGGATAACACATTAAATATCATCTAAAATCAGTAAAATTGATCAATGAACAACTGCTTTGCGCTTTGCAAAAACCTAAATAGAGGACTTTTCACTATGAAGTGTAAACTACCTACCACCCATTATAGCTGCTTGCATCTAGCAATTGCTAGGAAACGATTTCAGTACCTCCTTTCAGCTTTAACTAAGCCAAATCCGGTCAGTACATGCCCGGCCTCACTTAATCAAGAGATCTTGTTTGATTTGTCAAAAAAAGCTTTGGTGAACGAGGTGTAGTCTGGAACGTTGAACCATAAGGCGTTGTGAGATTTGTTAAAAGTTTAAATATGTCTGGATTTACGTGGGAGAGTCTTGCTAGGGATTGTACAATTGATGTCCGAAGTGGTAGGAGCTTGGTTATCTGCTAAATAATTATTGCTTGTAAGTTTTAAATTTTAAAAATATTATTAATTTTTGTTTAAATATTATTGAAATATTTTTAAAATATTTTTAAAAAATTTTATACTGATTATAGAAAATGTCTTAGATTTGTTACATAAAAAAAAACAAACAAATAATGAAAAATTTTTCCTAACAGCATTTCTTAAAGTATTCGAGATAACACTGTTAATTGTGTTGTCAAAAGCGTAGGCATAAATTCAAATAAATTAGGTACTCTGTACAGAAAATATTAATATCATACTTATGGTCACATATAAATATATTATACTCATATCTTAAAATTATATTTTATCAATATAAAATATATTTGTATCAAAAATTACTTTAAAAAAAATATTTAATATTTAGAAGCTTAGGTCACATATAAATATATTATACTCATATCTCAAAATTATATTTTATCAATATAAAATATATTTAAATCAAAAATTACTTTAAAAAAAAAATATATAATATTTAGAAGCTTTTATAATGAGTAGTTATATTCAAAAAAAATATATGAAGTTAAGCATTAAATTTTCTGTAATGCCGCCTTACTCCTTTACTTAATTACCTTAACGTCCTGAAACCATTTATAGAAATTAAATTAATAAAAAATTAACTGATGTTGTCATAACGTTGCTCAATTAATACAATTATCGAAATTAGTCGTATTAAAAATTAAAGATTGTGTGAAAGAGAAAATTTTAGTTTAGATTATTTAAATTGTCTAAAAATAGTAGGAGTGGTAATTAGTTATATAACATATATTTCATATATATGAAATCTTTCGTCAAGTTATAGTCATGACCAATAAATTCACAGATTGAAGCACAACTGTTGGTTTGTTGTATTTGAAAAGTCAAAAAAATTTTTAATGAAGAGAATTAATTAAAGGGATATAATTAATAAGTCAGTAGGTAAGTAAATCAATAAGTCATTCTTACTTGTATATATGTATAGTATTGAATAACAACACTGAGAGAAATTATTCGGTGTAAAATAAATGACTGAATATGAGTAACAACCACTCCAATGCAATCAAGAGCGTAAGAAGTTCCACACCTTTGAATTCCTCAATTCCGTCGATTAAATTAACCATAATATCAGTGTAGAACTGAGCATTAGAAATATCTATTGTTTCGTTTAATTTATAAAATGTAATATAAATATCTAAATATTGTACAAATACTTCCTACCGCAATGCAAGAGATCTCAGAATAGTCCTGGTCAAGAATAGTCCTGGACTGCCCTACATAGCACTACCAAATTTCAGAGCAGTCCCTTGCCGTACGGAGTTAGATCAGTCATCGAATAGAACAATCAGTGAAGCATGTGAGAAATACATGAATTGGTAAAAGGGAAGGTACGGGCTTTGCAGAAAGTCCTCAGCTTAGAAAGAGTAAAAGTGCCCAGTTGTACTTAGTGGCAAAAACCTCAACATAAGATATAATTCACTATCAAACAATCTCTTAAAATATGCTCACTTTTAGACAAACAAAGAGCATGAAGCTGTATAAGTGTGATCTATGTGTTATAATAAAGACTACAATTCGGGTTTTATCTGTCCTACCTATAAAAAAGTGACAAAATATATCCTGGACTGCTCCACTTCATTAGATTTTAAACAAATATATATTTTAATAACAATGGTTAAAAAGTAATTCTATTATTTTGTATCTAAATATATATAGATAACATAGATATATATATATAAATAAATATAGATAACAGATATGGTATATGAATTATTTATATAAATAATAATAATATGTATAATATAAACATAGTATATATAATAATATAAAATATTATATTAAATAAACATAATTTCTTTTTTCATATTAATTAAAATTTTTTTTTTATTTTATATCTTCCTAACAGTTGGCAATACTTAGTAAGACATTGGCCAGTTAGTTCTCAACCACTAGCCTTATTAGGTATTTTTGTACTTCTCTGGACCATTGCTGATATTTATTTACCTGAATATGCAAAAGCTTCATCTGTTATAATGCGTATAGTTCTACTTTTTGTTGGAGCACAAATAACTGGCATCTTGGTGACGTTTTTGCGTCTACCTGATATGCTTGGTATGCTCTTTTTCGGTGTCGTCTATACAAATGTTGGCTTAGCAGATTTTAGTGGCTATCAGAAATTCGAAGCAATTTTAAGGTAAACCAATCGATAATATAATAAATACATTAGTTGACATATGTGTGTTAATAGTATTTTTAATTCATAGAGAATGTGCTTTGATAAATATTATGTTATTAGCTGGTCTTGGTCTGGATGGCAATGCTTTCAAGAAACTATGGTTCATGATATTACGTTTGACTTTAGTGCCAACTATTGCAGAAGTAACTGTTATTTCAGTAATGGCTAGACTTTTACTCGATATGCCATGGTTGTGGGGTATATTACTAGGGTAAGTATTATTGTTATGTTTTCCAAATATTTCATAAAAATTATATTAAGTGAATTATTATAAAAGTAAAGAAATTTTCATAAAGATATTATTGTTTATATTTATATAATGTAATTTATTTAAATATTTTTGCAGTCTTGTAATAACTGCAGTCTCGCCTAATGTTGTGATTACGGTAATGCTAAAGCTTAGAGAAGAACGATTAGGTCTTAATAATGGAATTCATACGCTCATATATGCCATGACGGCTTGCAATGATGTAGTATCGATATTCTTATTCAGTGTTATTGTGGCAGTAATTTTCTCTACTGGTAAGTTGGATATAAATAATATTCTTTAACCCACTAAGCTATACTATAGTACTTAAAGTATATATTAAAATATAAATATAAAATATAAATGACAGAATGAAGGATTCAAACACAGGTGTAATACTACTTACAGTACTTCTAGTTACCTCTGATCAGTGTGATTTAATTTTACTGTATATGATATATATGGCATAATTAATATATAATAACTATAATGTGGTCTCACAGTTGCAGCACAAAGCCATGTTTGAAACTATATAAGTATTCACAATATCGAAAAGTCTTATATCTGTAATTTAAATTAAAATAATTATACATCTTTATATAGATCTTTTATATTTTTTTCCATATTGAGTCTCTTATGATTTCAATACTTATGAAACCATCTCAGAATGATTTTTTAGTATCTACAACGTATTATGATTAGTTTGTTAGTGATATTTTTTTCTATTCTGTTTTTGATATATTAAATTTTCAATAAATTTAATTAGATTTTTATTTATTTAGGCACCTTAACGGAGCAGGTATTATTAGGACCCATTGGCATATGCATTGGTCTTGTATTTGGTTATCTGTTTGGTATGATGTTGCAATATCTTCCATCAAAAAAATCGGTAAGTAATATTTTAATCATAATTTTATATAAGCAATGATTTCAAATGAGAATTTTTTTTTCGTTTTATATATAAAAAAAATTTTTTTTTTTAAATTTTTTTAAATAAAAGTATGTATTACCATTGAAAATTAAGAAACCAAGCTGGAAAACTAACTATATTGAGAGATATTGAGTTTGAGAGATTTTAATGCCCAATTTTACATTTCTGCTTAATTCTGAAGAAATTCTCTTCTTAACCCTGTAAAAGGTTAGATAAGGTTATACCGGCAATAATTGCGATTATCTAGGTTCCATTTACCTTTGTTCTACCATATGAAATAAAAAGGGGTTCAAGAAATTTTTTGAACCCTGTTGTGAGGTTTAAAATTATTATATTATTATAATAAATAAATAAAAAAATTATTAATTATTATAAATTATTATATTACATTGTATACTCTTATAACTTTTTAATATGCTCTATACATTATTATATTAGTACAACTCTTTATACGCTTTATTATTGTGGACTTAACGGTCACATAAACTAATTAAGTGGCAGAAGTTATAGCAAAATTTTTAGCATCTTTAAAGTCTGGGATTTAGAGTATATATTATTTAACTTAGACGGGTCTGCGTTGCAGTGAAATTATTCCAATTTCTTCTTAATATTAGTTTGTGTGAAACTGATTTTCTTCTCTGTATACTTATTTCTATTCTATTCTATTTCCATATTTATTATCGAGTATATATCTTTATTGTCATTTGGAGGACTCTGCTTAAGGGTTAACAATTTTCTAAAAGCTTTAAAAAAAATTTATTTTTCCTTAATTTCTGTACAAAATAAAGCTATAATGAACTAACATTTTAGTTAATTGTTTTAAAACAAAACACAATAATATTTTTCTCTATATTGTTTCACAAACAAATGTCATTCAATTTCAACAATAATTAATAATAAACTAAAGCAGAAAGTAGGGGTTCATAACTCAATGATTGCAACTCATATTCGGTTTATTCGGTTTATTTATTGTCTTTATTGCTAACATTACTGTAAAATTAAAATATATTATAGCCATAAAGGACTTCGGTTCTAGTGTTGCTAACGACTTGCATAATCAAGCAATTCCGTAGCTGCTGGAACCAGAACCACTGCTCCTAATGCGGCAACACATTCATTTATGTTGCATTATTACTTCATTCTGTTAAACGTGCTCTACTTTCACTAAAGTGCTTCTGCAGCGCGATTTGAAGTGGTAAGTGGCAAGTTGCTAGTTGCTAGTTGCCAGTTGCGATGGCATAACAGTTCGAAATCCTCCCTTTTGGTGGCTTGTTGCTTTTCCGTTTAGCATTTATCCTGCTGAAATTGAGAACTGCATAGAATTTCAAGCTGTGATGTTTCATATGCATACATTTATATGTGAAAGTGCATAATTCTTTTTTTTTATATTATTTATTTATTTTTTTCTTTTTTACAGTATGGAGCACTTTCAGTACAAAGACTCTGCAACGTTGCAGTTTCTTTGCTTTATGTGAAAATTATTTGTTTGACTTGGCAGTGTGGAGTGTGTGAGTTTGCTTGCGCTTATGCATAAGTGAGTCTCTTCATTGTTTCCATCATTTTGTGTCATTAAGTAATGCAAAGACAATATTTTTTAATATAAAAGAAAAATTTATAAAAATTGTTGCCGGAAATAAGTAAAAATGTGGCTTCCTGTATAGATAGCATTAAAAAAGTAATTTAATAAGTGTGGAAGTTATTATGAAGTTGTGCTACTTTCATATTACAGCTGAGATGGTAGTAGCATTATTTCTTCTTTATTCCTTAGTACAAATAATAAATATTTTCTATATGGTATAAAGTGAAATGAAAGTGCATTAAGATGCAAAAAATATATGAATTATAGGTGTGTATTTGATAATACACATAGTATATATATAAATAAGATGTCGTAAACTTGTATACAGCATAACTAACCAAAAGCCTCTTAAAGGACTGTTTTAAGAGCATAAAGTATAACTTTTCAGAAGTGAAACAGTCCTTTAGAGAGCTACTAAAATGCTACGACAGGTATGAATTTTCAGGTTTTTTTTGTAGTATTAGAATTATATCTGTGTAAGTGATACTATATTAAATATATATATATATATGTGGGCAATAATATTTATTGTGCTTATTATATACATACAACTTATGCATATGTAAGAAATAATATATTTATAATTTAGTCATAAATATAGTTCATTAGATCTTTAACGATTATGACAACTCGAGCACAAAAACATGACTGACTTTCGACACCAATTTCCGACAACTACAGACTATGTTTTTTTTCGACTCTGTTCTATTGCTTAACGCAGAGTTACAAAGCCTGAGAATTCATGCCTACATCCAGAAGATTTCATAAACTCATATATATTTCAATTAACCAAAGGTCTTCTGAAATAATGTTTTTTGGGAGCATAAAGCATAACCATTTAGAGGTGAAACGGACCTTGAGAAAGCTATTAAAATGCTTTTCCACGGATGAAATTTTGAGAGCTTTCATGAGTATTTGAAATAAAACAGTTTTTAGGAGAACTTCTCTAGTTCACCCAGACGAATGTATTTTAGGAACTTTTAAGGAGTTATTTTTGAATATGATAAAAAAGATAATTAGTGCAATTTTTGTATATATACAAAAGGATATATTCTAAAAAACAATTCGTTTTTTATTTACCCAAACAATAAGATATAATTAGTAAAAATTTAAGCCCCTAGAACGTTTTTATAAGGGTTTCTCACATATATATTTATCAAGCATTCCGATTTAAAATCAGAATGATTTGACTTGTAGAGATTTGAGTTGCACTTGTAAAATAAAGTAATAAAAGAGAACAGATCAGCTTAAGGATGTTAAATATAAAAAAAATTATTGCTTCTAATACATTTTTTTTTGTATTTGTAGTAAGTAGCTATTATAGGAAATTATAATAAAAAAGAAACAAACAGAATACTATTAAAATTTAACAATTAGAAATAAAAATATAATTAATTAATTCAGTTATTCTACAGCTGGTTTATGTGATCTAATATAAACACAGCAAGAGAATTTGTTAATAAAAACTTTCGTATCAAAATGAACAAAACTCCAGAAAAATGTGCGAACATAAAACTCAAGTACGGCTTTGGGTCACTTGGTTAAGCTGCGCTGACTCTAAGCTTCAAATTTGGCAGTACACGAGTTCGATTCCTAGTACTTGCAGTCTCAAAAAAATTACTTACGTATAATCAAATACAAGAATTATTTCCAAGACCACTGATGATGGGTATTTGGTAATAATCGAAACAGCTGTATGATCAGTCAAAAATTCAATTAATTAAAATAATATAAAAATAATTTTTGTTGTTGTACTTCACTACTGTTCGAGCTATTCTTCATAAAAAAGAAATTATATTTTAATTTGTTATTAAAAAATGTCTTTTAAAAATAAAGAAAATTTTGCTATTAAAAAAATAAAATTAAGTTATATTTACATATAGAAAATAAAAAATGTTAAATATTTTCATATCTTATTTTTCTTCTCAAATGATATAAAATCATAAAAAAATTTGCATTTTGATACGCATATGCATTAAAAACTTTTTGAGTATATATTTTATTTTTGACTTTTAGTATTTTTTAGTATTTATAAAATATACTCGTATATACCTTCACATCACTTTATAAAGTATCTTCTGGCACTAGAAACTTATCTGCAAATGCAATAAAAATCATACTGCAACAACTCTTTCCAAATGGTTTTGCAACATTCGTGTGTTTGTCTGTCCGTCTGTCTGTAGTGTCCTTTGTGCACACTTTTAAGTCAAATGTACGATTGCGAATAGAAACGCAGCAATTTCGCAGCATTTTATTTTCGTAAATGTGACTCTTTATTCACATTTTGAGAATGTATCTTGCCGAAATTCAATTTGCTATGCTTTACGCTGTTAGCAAATTCTTCACAAATACAGTGGAGTGCACTAATGTTATTACTATGCACTTGTAAAATACTTATAACAGTCACATATGCCATATACTACTTAACAGTATCATTCACATTTATGTTAAATAATAACATTATTATTTGTATAAAAACATTGCTTTTATATTAATGTTATTAGCATTTGTTGTTAACATTTTTGATATATAAAACCCACTGTTATTATTCCTTTGGTAGAAAATTTTGTCATTTTGATACCACAAAATGCGTTTTGTTGGTAAAATTGTGTAAAACCATAATATGTATGAATGGCATATAAACAAGATTTACTAGCTGATTTGTTAGATTTATGCTATTTTTCCTCTCTTTAGAAATTGTTAAGAAAGGTTAAGAAAAATTGCATTTATAAATTAAATTGAATTGTAGTGATTTTTCGAATTTAAAATTCAAAAGGTTTCATTTTTATTAGAAAAATTTAGTAAAGTGAGTGCTTAAGTATTTCTAAGAGTTTCCAAAAAGGGGAATAAATATTTTTGGCCAATAAAATAGTTGTAGTTGCAGAAAAGATTGCAGAAATTATACTTGCTGTCACAAACAGAATAAATTTAAAATATAATTTAATTTATATAGTAAATATAAATAATTTTAATAACTAAAAAGTAAATATAAATTTATATATCTTTAATAATTTCAATTTATTAGAGAAGCATTATAGCAGAAATAATTCTTTACACATTTCTTTGAATAACTTTATTAATTTGCTGTTTAAAGTCATATATTAAATACTTTTATTTCAATTTAATTAAGTAAGTATTCACCTTAAATGTTGCAATATAAAAATCAAACATTTTTAATTTAATTGCATCAACTTTTAATTTTCCAATAAACTATCAAGAACTTTGTCTTGTTTTAAATTATTTTAAAAATATTTTTGAAAACATTTGCTTTAAAGTTATTAAGTTATATGAAAGCAATAAACAATAACCAGAAAGAATTTTTTTCACTTTTTAATTTACTATTAAAGCTTTTGTTCTCAAAAGGAATTTAAATTAATTTTATATTTTTATTTTAGGTTTAATATAGTTTTATAAATTTTAATTTTAGTAAAGTTTTAAATTTATCCCATATGTATTTTATTAACATTTCACCTACAGATGTGTTTAATAATATAATAAACCATTACTTTATAAATACAGAAATGCTATCGTTCATGGACATATCTTAAAACAAGCCGTTTCAATAGGAAATATCCCACAGTATTTCAGTTGTTTAAAAAAGCAATAAAAAGTTGGCAAAAATATTATACATCTGGATTGCCAGCCAACTATAAGGTCTCTTCAATTCTTAACCTCAAAAGCAAATCTGTGCGCAAGAATTCAATATTGGAATTTAATATATTAATGCTAAGGGATGTGGCACTGCGACGTTCTGGTCTATTGTGTCCCCTTCTGGGTTTAGACTAGGTCTCTAAGACATATGCGTCAATAATAAGTAGTATAGAACCCACTTTATAAAGTTTTATTGCTTCTTCCGTAAGAATATACATTACCAGGAGTCTATTTCGTTTATACCATATGTGGCCGTCTCCTTATTCTCTCCGCAGAAATTACAGTGTGCATGCGTATGTATACGTAGTCTCATAAGGTTGTATTTTAGTTTACAGTACCCTGTTAGGATTCCTATGATCATTCTAAGTTTTTCTTTTGATAGATTTATACATTTCTGGTAGTTCTTATTGTTATAGGTACCAATAAGTGACTTGGATTGTGTAAATCCCAATATATTATCCCAGTAATTCTTTTAATTCTGGTTCTCCTTTATTTTTATGGGAGAAAGTAAAATACTATGTCCTAGTCTGCAGAAAAGTTTCGGCCCCATCATTGGTGTGGCTGTTGCTGTCCTAGCTACTTTGTCTGCGTATTCGTTTCCGCGTACGCCAGTATGTCACGGTACTCAAAGAATCGACAACTGATTTGATTCGCTAAGTAGATTTAGCTTATCAATATTGGGTATTAAATTCTATTAATAGTACCATACTTTAATATTATTTTTGCTAGTAGTTGCAGATTTATTAATATTTCTTTTAATTTTAACGAAAAACACTTATGAAATTATTCTAGAGTATAAATAGGATCTTGTGTAACTGGTCGGAAACTGCCACGCCTATATTGATAAAATTTTTGTAAAATATTATTATTAGATAACGTTGGGAATAGTTATAGGTTTCTTTTCGAATGAATATGCATACTTTTTCATGGAGTTCAACAAGCTTAATGAAGATATTCATATCAAGAATGGAACTTTTGCCACTTTCATACTTTTTCTTCTACATAATTAAGGAATTATATATGTTCTTATTTTAATTTATTTTTAAAAAAATTGTGTTTGAGGAGAAATCTCTATATTTGGATTTTTCTTTTTTACCTATAAGTTTGGTAGCTGGGAAATTTATATAATAAAACCGCCTTAATATAGTTGCAAACGAAAAATATGTTTACTGTATATTATACGTAACAAGCCAACTAACAATAAAATTCCAACAATTTATTAGCATCTTAAATTATAGTTGTGGACCAGTGGAACTGCTCCAAACTAGCAATGAAGCCTACCACAAGCAATTGGTAGTGACAATATTTTCGAAACTCCACACCCAAGCAACAAATATAAATAGTTTTTGAGAAAAAAAACTTCAGCAAAAACATAAAAAAGGTTGATGAAATTTCGACTAGGCTTACATATTGCCCACACCTACATCCCACGCAAATAGACCGACGCCCATCAATTCAATTCAAAGCTCAAGTAAAATAGGATTAGAAAACAAATTTTGTTGGAGTTGGCAAAGTCAACGCTTCTTGTAAAGATTTTTTGCACTATAACTACAATTTCGGAAACTATTTCTGAAAGACAAAAAAATATTACAAAAAATAATACGAGTAATAAAAAAAGAAAATTTGAAAAATGGTTTTCCACACAAACATTTATGCAAGTCAAAATTTTATTTTTTTCTCACTTACAGCGCTACGTGTATGGACTGCGATTTGTTTTAACTGTCTTAGGTGGCTGCATCTCTGTGATGGGCAGTAAAGCCATTGGCTATCCATCGGCCGGCGCTCTGGGATGTGTGACAGTCGCCTTTATTGCGAATATTGGCTGGAAACAAGACCAACGGAAAATGACGCCCGAGCAACTACAGGAAAACGAAAATGTAAGTTCTGTTTGTTTTACTGATTTACTTTTTTGCTCAGTGTATCAACGTATTTGCGAGTGCACTGCAAAAAAAATAATAGCACAAAATAAGAGCAATTTTTTTTTTTAAAATCTGTTAATATTTTTTCCAATATTTTTTTTATTAAGTATTTTAAGCTATTTTGTTTTACTTTCCGCTATTGTAAGTGAACAACTGCGAGTACTCGTATTTGTATTGGCTTTATAGTCGTTGATGTATTGACTTCTGTGCCGAAACGGCACAACCGAAAAATGTATGAAATTTGTACACTTCCTTCTATTTTGTTTTGATTTGTATGAGTTTTTTCTGTACTTCCCTGAAACAAAGGCTTTTTGTTCCGAGTTTTTGTAGTTATTGTAGTTTGACAGTTGATGTTTAGAGTTTGACAGGCTTTGCGTGCTTTTGTCTCCAGTTAGTTTTCGCCCACATAACACGGAACGGTCTCTCATGGACAGTAACTTTTTTGTGTCAAATTTTGTTTTTTATCTGCACACTATTTTTTTTATCTCTGATGGTGCTATCCTTAAGAGTATTGCTGCTATACATTACTTTCAGGAAGTAACAATTTTTATTAACCAAATGGCTTGACATCTGCTCAGATACGTTTACCATTAAATTTTTATGTTACCTTTAATTTGTGTAATGTACACGTCTATTGAGACAAGTGAGGTGGATTTTTTTAGACAGAAGCTGTAGTAAGAGTATAGGTCTTAGCAGGAATTATTGTGTATAAATATGTTTGTTGCAAAATATTTTGTTTAAGAAATTGTAAAATTATTGTCAATATCAATTATATTACAATAACTGAAAAATTTAGTTTGTATAAGTAAAATGTACTGTGATTTAAAGTTGTTTGCGAATTGATTAGGTTCGGTTGGAGTGTTGTGCTTGCAAATTAAAAGCCCACTGCAGTGAAAACAATGATCCTAATGTGCGTAAAACATTATCTAATTGCAGGGATAACGTCGATAAATATAGTCATTATTCCGCTATTTAAGGAAAACCAAATTAACTTGAAAAGTCCATAAATTTGGCTATATCTCTAATTTTAAAGTGTTTTGTAATTCTCTTAGGTCAGTGAAAAAGGGGCTTTAAGAATATAATACTTGATTAAAGTTGATTTACACTAAATTAAATTTTTATTCAAGAGTGTATCAAAAAAAAAAAAACGCAGATAATTTTTACTCTAACTCATTTACAATTAATTAAGTTTAAATCATCTATTGGCTAAAGAACTTCTGACATTGGAGGTCTTCAACTACTGATATTGGAGGTCCTCAACTACTGACATCTTGGCTTTCATTCGAAGGAGTCTCTGTTCGGTTACGATCTGTAGCAGCACTAAAGATCAACTATGGTCGCCGTGTTTTTCTTCGTTCGGAGCCGATTCCCTACCTATTTCTTATCTTATATTATAATATTGAGTAAAGAAAGCCATTAACTAATGTGCATAAGTAACAGTAAGCCAATTTATTGATTTTAAATGATCTATTGGCTAAAAAACTTCTGACATTAGAGGTCCTAACTAATAACGTTGGAGGTCCTCAACTATTGACATTTTGGCTTTCATTCGAAGGAGTTTCTGTTCGGTTACGATCTGTAGCAGCACTAAAGATCAACTATTGTCGCCGTGCTTCTATTCGTTCGGAGCCGATACCCTGCCTATTTCTTATCTTATAATATTGTGTAAGAAATCCTTTAATACCTAAGGTGAATCATAAGTTAGGTATATAGGTAGGAATTATAGGGTAGGTTTCGATTTTGTGTTGAATATATAAACAATTTGTGAAAATAGTATCTTCTCATGTTAAATGAATTACGCTGTATAATTCAATTTAGCTAGGTATAACGGATCCTAGAGCCTGGATAACAGTTTGATTCTGTTGTGACTTCTGGCATTTGTGTACTAAACCAAGGATTTGGTGCTATGTGAGGCTTTATCAAACAGCGAGAAGCTATTTCATTTGAGCAGTAGCAGTTTGGTTTTTTGTTCAGATGTATATACCAACTGGATTTCTTTGAGTAGGAAAAGTAATTTGTTTATGTTATAGTTGGCGAAAATACACAGGCTTGTATTTAGAATCATTTAAAACTAGTTAACATCCTGCTATTGATGTTATAAGAAATTTTGAACATTTTTAGTCCGAACATTCAAGGAAACACTGATCAGGGAAACCCTCATCAGATGGTGATTGCATATACCAAGGGTAATGAAAAAAATAAAACCCGGCATAATAACTTGTTTCTACTACAGTCACTGACTTCATTTTCTTAGGAAGGTATCAAAAATATACTTATTTATGGATTTGCTGGGTATGTTTTACTGAATTTGCTGGTTAAGGTATTTAATGTTCGTATTCAGCAGGTTGAATGAAACCTCATTTTTAAGTTTCTTCTAGTATTTCTATATGCAGTTTCGCTGATATTATGATTTTCTATAGTTATATTCTTAATTGATCTAGTAATTGACTCCTTAATTCGATCTTTACTTGATTTAATTGCTATAGTATTCATTCTGTAAGAATAGCTTCTCTGTTTAAATACCTTTATTTCCGTAATTAATCTTGACCCGTAACGAGTTGCTAATATCATTTTGTTCAATTGTAAGTATGGTTCTTCTACTAAATAAAGGAAACTTCCAAATATGACTGTTCCTTTGATTATTATTTCATTGAACACTTAACACCAGTTCTCTGTTATTCGGTACACGTTTACAAGAGTCCATCCGAAACTTAAAAGC